TATTAATAACTAAGGAAATAAATTTACACTTCAAATAATAATAATAATAATAATAATAATAATAATATTATTATTATTATTATTATTATTATTATTATTATTATTATTATTATTATTATTTTAAACTTTTTTCAATTCACTCCCTCTCTTTTGCATACATGAGAACATAAACACGTACACTAATAAATGGCTAGGAAACTGACCATAATATTCCAAATAGTATTTGATTCAATCAAAGCTAAGCCTGAAGGCTTCCTAGTGAGTTTTAGAAAATTAAATGTGATTATCAAGTTGCACACAATCAAATTGGTTGGCCATTCAATTTAAATATTGATTTATTTCTCTTCTGATATGCTATGATCTGGTAATTTTATTTTATTAAAAAAAAAAAAAAAAAAAAAAAAAAAAAACCCCAAGAAGTTGTGCTCCTTAATAACAATATTAGTTGATTATATTGATAGATGAGTTTATGTTAAATTAAAGTTAATATACTTGACTAATTCTGTATCTTTTGGAGTAGTGATTGTCTCTCACACCGGAGCACTCTTGGCGGCTATCTCTGGACCGCTAAGACCAATGAAGGATCCACATCTCGTGGAAGCTCTTGTAATAAAAGAAGCATAATTCTGGTTGAAGGGCGACAGGTGGGAGAATGTATGTGTCCGATTATATACTAACTAATTTTGTTATTAGGGGTAGTCTTAGAATTTTGTCTAATTTTCAAGCATATGCCATTAGACATGTTAATAGATCAGTAAATGTCCAAACTCATACGTTACCTCCGGCTACCCATACAAACACTAATCTTAACATTTGGATTGGTTCACTCCCTCACTATATTCAAACAATGAGTAATTAATTTGGTTTTTCTCAAAAAAAAAGAAGAAGAAGTTAATATGCTTCTGCGGTCCCAAGAAGTAGAAACGGTGAGTTCTTGGTGGCTACAAAACCTGTTCCAGACAGTCGATAGAGATGAGCTTAGCCAGATGGGTTTGAAGATAGACGCCATTTGGCATGCAGGAAATCAAAAGCTCGATCTGGAACAACCTCAACATGGCAGATTGGCAGACTCATCCCCTTTACTTGCCAAGTTGCAGACGCCTCAGATCAGATCACCAGAAGATAGAAGCTAGCTAGCTGCCTATGGCATTGATGGCAAATTCGTGGCACCCACAAATGCTAATTTACATGGCATGCATAGGGCCACTCTCGTGGCTAAGGAATCCTGGTATTACCATAGCTAAACTAGAGTTAGATTGTGAAAATGCGGTATCAACCCTATCCCACAAGCGAAAGGATCTTTCTTATACGGGTTATATTATCAACCAATGTTTTAGCATCATGTCTAGCTTTAATTTTTAGTTTGTCATTTTATTAAGAGGTTAGTGAACATGATAGTCCACACTTTAGCTAGGGCTGGAGGCTCTCAGTTTGGCTCTTATTGTTGGGACAATGTCCCCCATGAATGTATTCGTTCTCTATTACCTTTTTCCACTTAATATAGTTTCTTTATTTTAATTTGACTTTCAAAAAAAAAAAAAAAAAGTTAATATGCATTGTATTAAAAAAAAAAAAAAAAAAGTTAATTGGTCTTGTTTGGTAAATGGCTGTTAGCGGTTAGCTGATCGGGTTAATTAGAGGGTATAACTAGTTGATAACATTAACTGATTGTAAAAAAGTGTTTGGTAAATTAGCTGTTAGCTGATAGCTGTTTGGTATAATTTTCTTTCTCAAAAAAAGCTAAGCTTTGAACAGCTTTTTGAGTTTTAGCATTTTAGAGTTACAAAAATCTAATTAACCAAACACTTATATTAATTTTTTAACCAAATCAAAAAGCTAATAGTCATCAAATAAGTCAAAATTAGCCTATAAGCTAACTATTTTACCAAACATGGCCAATATGCATTTATCATAATGAAACTGAATTAAATTTATATGACTTAGAACATCCATATCAGTTGTTTTTTTTTTTTGCACAATATTTAAGAAACCAAGTAAGGGAGAGAGGGAGGAGAGAGGTGAAGAAAAAAAAAGAGTAAATACTCAAAATGGTCCCTCGACTATAGCTAAATTCACAAATTGATCCTCGACTATTGATTTCAACCAATTAAGTCCTTAACTTTCTAATTTTAACCCAATTAAGTTCTCCATCTATTTGACTGTTTGTTGACCGTGATCTTTGATGATATATATGTAATTTCATGTGTAAATCTCAAGAGAACGCCCTTGGAGCTGACAGCGCCGTTTTGGAGGGGGGAGTGCTTCTCCTCTTGCTGCTTGGAGATCATGAGCTGGTTCATGTTGAAGGCGTGGCGGCTCTGCTCGAGCTCGTCGGTGTAAGTGTGCTTGCGGAGCATGTCGAAAATCTCGGCCTTGGAGTGGGAGCTCAAGAACATTGGGCCTCGTAGCCGTCGGTTGTTTCCGACAAGGGCTTGAAGTTGGTGACAGTGTCGCAGTCACGGAAGCGCTGGGCGGCGATGTTATATACCTTGGTGGCTTCCTCCTCCTCGTTGAACGTCCCCAGCTACACCCGCTGGTGCTTCTCGTAGATTTGTCTGAAGTTGATGATGCTAAGAGGCTCCTTTGTCTAAAGTTGATGATCATCAGTATAAGAAGTGTGGTGTTCTGTTCTCTTAGCACTGTCAGTACCTCTGTCCATAAGTAGGGCTTTTTGTTTCCAAATTTTGAATGAAAGAATTCTGACTATCACAGCAAACACAATGATGAAGAGGGAGCCTGAGAAATTGTTTGAGTTGATATCCATTCGGCTGTGGGACCACGCCTTTGAATCTCGACGACGGCAGCTTCCTGCCAGACTCCGCCTCCACCCCGTTCTCTGCGTTGATGATCACGCTCGCGTCGTTCCTCACTCGGCAGATGCTCTTCGGCGACTTGGCCGCCGCCGGCAAATTCAATGCCGAAGCATGCGCAACCGACATAGAATCACTAAAAGGCATTGACTTTTGAGCTTTGCACATGAAATTACATATATATCCTCAAAGATCACGGTCAAATAGATGAAGGACTTAATTGAGTTAAAATTGGAAAGTTAAGGACGTAATTGGTTGAAATCAATAGTTGAGAACCAATTTGTGAATTTAGTTATAGTCAATGGACCATTTTAGGTATTTACTCAAAAAAAAAAAAAAAAAAAAAAAAGAGGAAAAAAAAAACATTCTGACACAAAAGAAATGTCTTCTCCTTTTCTCTCCTTGAAGTCTACAAAAAATATTACTTTGCCGGAGATCAAAATGCCTGCTCTCTCCTTCTTCTCTATAATCCATCTCACTTTGAGCCCTACAAAAAATAAAAAATAAAAACTACTAATATAGATGCTCTAACTACAAAATTATTGCACCTTGATTATTCATAAGTTTGAACCACCAACTTGAAAATCTTTCAAGGCTCTTGCATGGAGATGGGTGAGGAAGAGTCTTCATACTACTTTAACTTGTACCACACATTGCATGGTATTTATTTATTTATTTTTAATGTAAAATTGATTGACAATACAATTAATGAAGTATAAATATAATGAGTTTTTTTCTTAAAAACCCCAAAACAAATAATTTCACCATTTGCACTCCAGAGTGTTTTTTTTTTAGTACACTCTATTATAAAGTAATATTTGTTCAATATACTTTTTTGATTTATTGTAGCCCAAAGAGTTAAAGTGACATACTTTTCAACCACTTCCACTATTTATATTCCTCATGTGTTAGTGTACTGGTAGCACATGTACAACTTGCAAATCCGACCAAAATGGGGAATCTCTTTGACCCTAATGCCCAATCACAACAAAATTGATCAAAACATCCATGATCCACCCATCATTTCAACTTTTTTTTCCTTTTGCAATCGAACCTTCCCACCTCATAATTACAACTTACATTGCATTATAATTCCATTTTGTAGGAAATGAAATAACAAGATTTATCATATATACAGATAATTTTTTTTTTTTTTTAACAAGCGTTGAATGAAGGGATAATCAATTCTTATAAACAGTATAACCATATTCAACACCATTAATTTTACAATTTAATCAACACGATAAATTTTAATTTAGGCTTTCTGATAAGAATAAAAAAAAAATTATAAGTTTAATTCTCATAATTTATATATGCTCTAAAAGATCAAAGATATTCAAACAAGAATTTGAATATCAATTCAATTACGCAAGTATTAATACGATTTTATACCCATCATATCCCTCACACCCTTATTTGACTAAATAAAATTTCACAGAGCACAATCAAATCCACCTTTTAAAGTACTCATAAGGTGTGAATGTGTTAATACATATCTCTTACCGTTTAGGCGTTTAACTAATGCAGTTACATTAAAATTTATGAGGGAGTATTTCACTACTTTTAAAGTCTTATCCAAAAACTGGCTAAGAGTGTAAATCAGTAGTTGAATTACACATTTATATTTTATATATTGAACATGTTTGGTAACATAGTTAGCTTATCAGTTAATTTTGACTTATTTGACCACTAAGCTATTAGCTGTTTGATTTGGTTAAAAAACAAATATGAGTGTTGGATTAATTAGTTTTTAGTAACAGCTTATTGTTTCAAAACACTAAAATTCAAAAAGTTGTGCTTTGCGTTAAGCTTTTTGAGAAAGTCATTTTGTAGGTAATCAGCTATTAGCTAACAGCTAATTTATCAAATATCTTTCTACAACAACTAATATTATCAATTAGTCAAACTCAACTTACTAATCCAATCAGCAAACGACTATTTACCAATTAGCTGGGGTCCAGGTGAAATTGGGATAGGAAGGGGGTGGAGTGCGAATGTGAGAAACCGCTGGGGTCCAGGTGAAATTGTCAGTAATGACTAATGAGAATCAGTACTTGAAGTCACAAATTGTGAAATGGAGAGGTCAACTTTTTGGTGTGCATGTAGAGCCAAATGACTTTAAGTTAGCTATATGCACGGTTGTTATTTTTCTTATAGTATATATAAAGCCAAATCAATTTATATATCTTCCGGGTTTTCATACATTATTCCATAATCTGTGTTCTGCCACCATTGATTTTGCGATCCAAAACCCATGAGTTCAGAAGAGCAGATAATAACCCAGAGGAAAGAAGCGGCAGTAATGGCGGCCATGGAGGATCAGAAGCAAGAAGAAGAAGAAGAGTTGCCGTCGGAGACGCGCTTGCCACCGTGGACGAAGCAGATAACGGTGAGGGGAGTGGTGGCGAGCGCCGTAATAGGATGCATTTACAGCGTGATAGCTATGAAGCTGAATCTCACCACCGGAATCACTCCCAACTTCAACGTCTCCGCCGCGCTGCTGGCCTTCATCTTCGTCAGAACGTGGACTAAGGTGCTTCGCAAGCTCGGGATTTCATCGGCGCCGTTCACTCGCCAGGAGAACACCATGATCCAGACCTCCGCCGTCGCCTGCTACAGCATTGCAATCGGAGGTTATGTCTGCTCTGATTCCCGACATCATAGTATTATTTAGTATTCGTTTTCTGTGTTGAGCATATAACCATTAATGTGCAATTCAATTATTAGCTTACACTTTTAGTTGAAATGGAGCAAATGCTTCAATTTGGTATAGAGCCAGCCAAAGGTCATGGTTCACCCACGTGAGGGGCGTGTTGAGTATATAACCATTAATGTGCAATTCAACTATCAGCTTAGACTTTTAGTTGAGATAGACCTTCAATTTTCTGAAACACTCAGGGTATCTTTTTTTATGGATTTTCAGGTGGACTAGGATCGTACTTGTTGGGGATGGACAAGAAAACATATGAGCTTGCAGGGGTTGAAACAGTTGGGAACAATCCTAGCAGTTACAAGAAACTTGAGATTGGGTGGATGACTGGCTACCAGCTTGTGGTTTGTTTCATTGGCCTTTTTGTGTTGATTCCTCTCAGAAAGGTACTGTGGAAGTGTAGAGTTATCATCTTTATTTTGAATGAATTTTATTAATTTCTGAGGAATTATTGTATTTATATATGTGCCCAGATCTTGATAATTGACTACAAATTGACCTTTCCAACTGGAATGGCAACTGCGGTTCTCATCAATGGATTCCATGCCAAGAGTGATAAGATGGCAAGGTGTGACTGATTAAACCCATAATTTTGATGCTGTTTTGGTGGGTCTTTTTTAATTTTCTTGATTTGCAGAAAACAAGTGAAGGGATTCATGAAGTTTTGCTCTGGGAGTTTTGTGTGGGCTTTCTTTCAGTGGTTTTATACTGGGAAAGAGGAGTGTGGGTTCTCACAGTTCCCAACTTTTGGATTGAAAGCCTGGAAACAAACGTAAAGCCTTTCCCTTTTTGGGTTTCTTGAACTCCTCCTCTCTGCTTTTATCTTCTGAACATGGTTTTTGTTTGTGTTTTGGAGTGCAGATTCTTCTTCGACTTTAGTTTGACTTATGTGGGAACTGGGATGATCTGCCCCCATATTGTGAATGTGTCGGTTCTTCTTGGGGCTATCATCTCCTGGGGTGTAATGTGGCCTGTTGTGGAAAGGTTGAAGGGAGAATGGTTCCCTGCAAACATCCCTGAATCCAGTATGAAAAGTCTTAATGGCTACAAGGTTTCTCTCTTTTAAAGAATTTTGAACCTAAACAATACATATTTATATTTTATATATTATATGCTCAATAGCTCTCTGTGTTTCATCTCAACTATGGCAGGTGTTTATCTCCATTTCCCTCCTCCTAGGTGATGGGCTTTACAACTTCACCAAGATATTATGTATCACTCTCTTAAGCATTCTTGACAAGTTCAAAAAAAGAACTGCAGATGCTGGTAAAATTTCATTTCCGGGTGATTTTGTGTTAATTTAAAAGTTGAAAAAAATTATATTTTGATCTTTAGTTATACCCGTGGTACATAAAGTTGGATTTTAGTCCTTAGGGAACCAATGTCATTGGCTAATTTGGTCTTTCATAGATTTAAATCTGCCACAATTTTTAGAAGTAGGGTGCTGAACTTGGCCCAATAATTTCCCATATTAGTACCTGTACAGTTTACTCTGTGACATTACTTTGATACCACTTGGTAGGATAAGTGTTTGGCGTAACTTTATTTTCCGTGTTAGACTTGGTCCGTTCACCTGTACGCCTAGCAATTCCCCTAACCACCAACAATAACTTACGGGTGAAAGATATCCTCAAGGACGTACTAATGCCCTGTTTGGTAAAATAGTTAATCTATAAGCCAATTTTAGTTTTTTTTTTTAATTTTTTTATCACTATTAGCTGTTTGACTTGGTTAAAAAAACCAATATAACTATTTGATTAATTAACGTTTTGTAACAACTTATTACTCCAAAACACTCAAATTTAAAAAAATTACTCAAAACAACTTTTTCGATCATCTTTTTGAGAAAGTCATTATGTATGTAATCAACTATTAGCTAATAACTAATTTACCAAACATATTTTTATAATCAACTAATTTAGTCAAACTCAATAACTTAATCACATTATTTACTAAACACCCATTAAGAGTATACCACATAATAATTGAAGTAACACAAATGTAATTTTTGGTTAATACTAAAATTAGAGGTTTGTTTATGTAATGGAAGTATTTGATTGCAGCAGCAGTAGAGCAGAGCAAGACGAGTGCAGAGCTGAGAAAAGATGAAATATTCATCAGAGACAGGATTCCGATGTGGGTAGGGGGTGTCGGGTATGTAACCTTGGCGATCATTGCGGTGATCGCCATACCGATGATCTTTCCCGAGGTGAAATGGTACTGGGTAATCCTTGCCTACGTCATTGCTCCCTCTCTGGCCTTCTGCAACGCTTATGGCGCCGGCTTGACTGACATAAACATGGCGTACAACTACGGCAAACTTGGGCTGTTCATGATGGCGGCGATGGCCGGAAAACAGCACGGCGTGGTGGCGGGACTCGCCGGCTGCGGCTTGGTCAAGTCCATCGCTAATGTCTCCTGCAATTTAATGCAGGATTTCAAGACGGGCCATCTCACTATGACCTCTCCCAGGTACAGAAGTTTGCAAACTATTAATAGCTATACAGCGAGATAAAATAAGCTATGAAAAGTTAGAGAAAAATTCAATTTTGGTTACATGATTATAGTGGCATTATTAATTTCAGCACCTGATTTTTAAAAGTGTCAATTTAGTACCTTGACTATGTAACTTTTGTCAATTTTGATCCCTTCGGCCAAATTTAGCGGGAAAATTTTAATTTATAATCTGAGGGGCAAAATCGTCTTTTGATCCTTTCTAGACTAAATGTTGGATTAAATTTTTTCGGCCAAATTTGACCGTCAATTCGGCCGGAGTGATCAAAATTGACAAAATTTACATAGTCAAGATACTAAATTGACACTTTTAAAAGTCAGATGCTGAAATTAACAATGCCCCTATAGTCATGTGACCAAATTTGAAATTTTCTCTGAAAAATAACAACAAAGACATATGAAAATGAGTTCTACAATGTGGCGGATACTGATAGACTACTTTTTTTCCTGTGATCTCAATATAAATGTCTATATCAAGATTTTATGTGTGGGTGTAAAAATTAAGGATAAAAAATAAGAGGACATATAGTATTTTCTTGAAAATAACCAATAAACACTGAGTCAAAAATAATATTCTTCAGGGCCATGTTTCTGAGCCAGGCCATCGGCACCGTGATCGGCTGCGTGGTGGCGCCGCTCAGCTTCTTCCTGTTCTACACGGCGTTCGACATCGGAAACCCCGCCGGAGAGTTCAAGGCGCCGTACGCGCTCATTTACAGAAACATGGCGATTCTCAGCGTGGAAGGCGTCTCGGCTTTGCCCAAACACTGCTTGCAGCTCTGCTACGGCTTCTTCGGCTTCGCCATTGTCGTCAACTTCGTCAAGGACCTTTCCCCGCCGAGGATCAAGAAATTTATGCCGCTCCCCATGGCGATGGCGGTGCCGTTCCTCATCGGAGGCTACTTCGCCGTAGATATGTGTGTTGGGAGTTTGGCTGTGTTCTTGTGGCAGAAACTGAACGCCGTGAAGGCGGAAGTTATGGTTCCGGCGGTGGCGGCGGGGATGATCTGTGGAGAGGGTTTGTGGATTCTCCCGGCGTCGATTCTTGCCTTGGCCAAAATCAGTCCCCCTATTTGCATGAAGTTCTTGCCTTCTTGAAAGAGTCTTGATTTTTAAGGGTTTAGAAATATAGGATGTTAGAGTAACAAATGTTAATAGAGTTGAATCCGCAGGACTAGCGCAGCTCATCCCATATACCACATTTTATTATAAATGATACAGGAGTTAATACCCAAAATGGTATTCGACTATGGTGGTTTTTCTGGATTTCGTCCTGAACGATTTTTGTGGTCTAATGTAGTTTTAGATTTGTGTATTTTTGCTCAATATAGTCCTCCGTTTACTATTCCGTCCAATTGGTGTTAAATAGAGGGGTAATTTGGTAATTACAATATTTGCCTCTCATTGAAAGAGGGTAACACCAAGTGGACAGAATAATAAACGAAGAACTACATTGAACAAAAACACACAAGTCTGGGGCTACATTGGATCACAAAAGTCGTTTAGGACGAAGTCGAGAAAAATCACCATAATCGATGATCATTTTGAGTATTAACTCAAATTATTACATATTTAATTACAAAATGTCAACATGTTCATCAATCAAATGTTAATGGTTTGATCCTTGACTTTGAGTATAAAGCAGTGTTAAATCTTTAGGTCAATTGTCCAATTGTTTCACCCAATAGATGTTCTTACAATTCAGCCAAGGAATTAATCAATGTGTTTAACTGGTAGAAATTCTGAATATACCCAAAAAAAAAAAAAAATGTCAACATGTTAGAGTACCATGACCGGGGTTAAAGATGATTGGATCGGATGTCCTCTTGAGATCCTTCAGCAAATTCTAAAGGACGATATTTTGGGTTTCCAAAAAGGCTGAACCCCAACTCAACTGAACATTAATCACATAGACTAGACCAATGCTCACTGTGCACAAGGAGCCCCCTCACTTACCCCAACTCAACTGAACATTAATCACATAGACTATGCACAAGGAGCCCCCTCACTTTGAGAGGTTGCTCCCACACTGCCGTTGGTAAGACTCAATCCCTGATTATTCTTCCAAAGTTTCACATCTATGACCAGTTGAGCTACCCATGCAATCCTTATTTATTTTTGTGGAGTTTTCCTTCCTATTAATAATAAAAAAAAATAGAATTAGATATTCATCTCAATCTCAAATGAAGCTAAAAGATCAAGAACACAAATCAAGTCAGAGAGAAGTGAACCAACTATGAACCACGAACTGGTGTGAGCAACAAAATTATGAAAAAAAAAAAAAAAACTAGGCTATAGATTCGATAAAAAATTGGCCATGATATGCAACCTTTAGATTATGGAATAATATGTTCTACTAATTTTAAAACTAAACACTAGTACAAAAAGTAACATTTGTGTTTATAATAGAGAACAATAGGCTTTTTGTTATTACAAACGTGTATGACGTAGACACAAAAATTATCAACTTTATGTATATATAGTCAGCAGAGTTGTGAAGTAACTTTTTTTTTTTTTTTTTTTTGGGTACAAATTAAAATCATAGTATATTTTTTAGAAAATAATTTTATTATATATATTGGTTCCCTATGCCGTGAAATTACAAAATTCAACAGAAAATTTTCCTATGCACAATATCATCCTATGATCCAAAATATTCAATACAATATATTCAAACGTAATATAATCCAACACAATATATTATAGCATAATATAATCCAATACAATATAATCCAACATAACATAATCTAACACAATATATTATAGCATAATATAATCCAACACAATATATTATAGCATAATATAATCCAACACAATATATTATAGCATAATATAATCCAATAAATAACATAATCTAACACAATATAGTCCAACATAACATAATCTAACACAATATAGTCCCAACTCCCAACACTAGTACACCACAATACACATAATCTAACTCTAGTTCAAACACCTAATATAGTTTGCTAAATATGATCAAATAAAATAACAAAAATTTATACCTACTTTTTAATTAAATATTTTGTCCACAATTTGCATATTACACCTATTCCTTCAATGGAGTACACTGGACTTGCTTCACCCGACTTTAATTTAGATGAGAGGGGGTGGAGGTTCTCAACAAATTATTCGGTGGACTTGAGTCTAAAATATACAATTTACATACTAAATATTCACAACTTATATATTGAATACTTATAATTTTGTAAAAGGTAAATTATGAACATTTAGTATGTAAATTGTGAACAATATGTAATGTAAATTGTAAACATTCAATATATAAATTGTATGGAGTATATTTTAAACTTAAGTCTACCTTACAAGGTGGACTATGGTACATGGTATAACAATTGGAGGGTCTTCAACCCAACTCAATTTTGGCTCGATCTGTATAATCCCTAAAATACGGCAAATTATGTTGTGCAACTGTGTGCACCATGTATGGTGCACACGATTGCAAAAACGACGTCGTTTTGATTAAAAACGCCTGTCCAATTTTTTTTAAAAAATTCAGGTTTGATTCCTAGCAATAGTATTTTTTTGTGTATAATTTGAATTTTATATCCACAAATTCATAACTATATATCCACAATGAATGAATAACACAAAATCCAGAATGAATGAACTAAATATCCACAATGAATGAACTAAATATCCATAAATTCATAACTATATATCTACAAATTCATAACTATATATCCACAATAATGCTGTTGAGGGGAATCGAAACTGAATTTTTTTTTTTTTTTAAATGGAACGCCCGTTTTTAGTCAAAACGACGTCGTTTTGCAACCGTGTGCACCATGCATGGTGCACCCGGTTGCACAACATAACTATTGCTAAAATACTAAGTGTTATATTATGTACCAGGGCACACAATACATTATGTGCCCTAAAAATCTCCAGTTTCGTATGTACATAATTGTATAGTAAAATACACATAAATTCTTAACATAATACACATAATCTAACATGATACATAAAACACATAAACTCTTAACATAATATATATACACTCTTAACATAATACACATAAACTTTTAATATAATACACATGAACTCTTAATAAAATATAATGTACATAAAATCTTAACATAATACACATAACTCTGCATTGTGCGTCCTGGTGCACAATATAATTTACCCTAAAATACACGAGTTATACGCTTGAACCGGTTAACCCACGGGTTACTTGACCCGTGTAGCATATATGTTATATATGTATATATATATATATATATATATATATATATATATATATATATATATATATATATATATATATAGACTTGCACTCGGGTGCGAATGGCTTGCCCAGGCGCGAAATAGGAATGGATTCTGTTCGTCCACGTGTCCAGATCTAATGGATGAGAAACACTGATTTTTTAAAAAAACGCGGTGGCATTTTCGTAAATAATTGAACATCGAAGTGCAAGTAAAATGTATTACAAGTGCATGTAAAATGTATTATAGGTGCAAGTAAAAATTTACACTGAGCATCAATACTTAGTTGCACTTATAGTTCTAAGTAGTTGCACTTATAGTTCTAAGTAGTTGCACACATAGGTATAAGTAGTTGCATCTAGGTGTATGAATGTTTGCGAGTGGTTTTCAGGAGTATTACTACCCGCTGAACTCAGATCAATGAATGTTAACAAGGCAAGATTACATGCACTTATAGGTGAAAGTAGGTGCACCTATAGTTATAAGTAGTTGCACCTATAGTTATAAATAGTTGCATATATAGTTATAAGCACACCCAGGTGCATGAATGGTTGCGGAAAGTGAATGCTAACAAGGCAAAATTACATGCACTTATAGGTAAAAATAGGTGCACTTATAAGAGATTTTACTTGCACTTCGATGTTCAATTATTTACGAAAATGCCACCGCGTTTTTTTTAAGTTATTAGATCTGGACACGTGTCGCGCGCTGATTCGTTCGCATTTCCTTCCTGGGCACTTATTCAGGTGCGCGTCCCTATATATATATATATATATATATATATATATATATATATATATATATATATATATATATAAAAACTGGTAAATTTAACGACTCTGTGTGTCTGTGTCCAACTCTCATCCCCGGCTAACCCTCACTACGGACGCCTACTCAGCTACTCCGGCGAGTCCAGGGGCGACGGAAAGCTGCTTGGCATCCAGCGACTGGCGTCTCGGCGACTCCTACGAGCCTAGGGGCGACGGTAGAAGTTGCTCGACATCCGGCAACCGGCGTCTCGGCGAGTTGGCGACTTGGCTTCTCCCTTCTCGGCAAACAAGCTGTTTGGACTTCGGAGTGTTTGGCACGGTCAAAAGCTACCGTCAAAATATGTAGGTTGAATTGAAAATTAAGGTGTAGATGCTTATTTTAGGCTCCATTTGAAATTTAAGAAGTTGATGTTGGCAATTGCATCTATTGCAGGTTTATTTGTGTGAAAAACTGTTGGTAGTCAATTTCTCCATTATCTTGACGGTGCATCTGTTGGTCCTGTAAGTTATTAAACATTAAAACATGCTCCATTGGCTTATTATTGATTTTATAAAAGAAGTTTTACATGAGATATTTGACAGTGATTATAATATATAGATGTTGGTGCTCATGTTATATAATTTATTTATTTATTTTTGTATTCCTGAAAGCTCAAAATGAGTACCTCAAGAGAAGAATCTCCAGATTGGCTTCGTTCTTTCAAGGTAAATGTATGGTTTTCTTTTATAATCTTTTCCACTTAGAATTTTGTTACTTTTCTGCTAGATCTGAAATAATGGCATTTGAATGTACTGTTTACTTCAATTCAGTTGTATTTTAAGCAGTTGGCTTATGGATGATTTTCCTTTCATTTTGCTCCCGTAAAAAACGTGCTCTAGCCTCAAATTATATAGTACCCAGAGTTGGGTTATTTTATATTCTTTGATTCATTACTGAAATGTTTGGTGATGCAATGCGATTAGTTTGGTTGATGATTTATTTGGTTCTGTGAATTGAGTAGATGCATATGTTTGGTTTGGATATAGTGAAGCGTGATGTTGATATTGTTGATGGTAATTGAGAGTTTTAATGCTAAAACAGGCACCTAGTCCTGTAGCATTATCGTCGGATTTAGAGTCCCCTTCAAATGATAGTCCTCTTAGTGATGATGAGGACGGAATGAGTCTTGGGAAATTGTTTTCCAAAGATAAATCCAATACAATTGAGACTAAAAACAATTTGGATGGGAATGACTTGTTGGTTTACACGCCTTCTAAAGAAAAGTCTCCTGCTAAGAAGGCAAGAGTGGAGCATTCACCAGGTGGAAAGAGGAAGAGAGAAAGTCAGCCTGAAAATGAAGGTATGCTTTCTAAATTTTGTTACTCCATATTATTTTATTAAAACAGAATAAGATAATAAATGCACTCTCTAATTGTACAGGAAAAGATGTTGATGATTTCAAGGTCTTTTCTGAAGGAACAAAAGATCCAGATTTCCTTGACAGTGATGGAGAACATGTCCCCACTGAGGATCTGAAGATGAAATCTTCAAAAAAACAATTTGAAAAAGACAACCATACGCCAAAAAAGAGGAAGAAAGTAGAAAAGACAACAAATGAGGGTAAGGAAGACATTAATGACCTTTTTGGACATTGCTGTAATCCTTATTAAGTAATGGATATGATGAATGAATCTATAAGGCTGTAGTCGCTCTAACATTTTAAAAATTTAATTTTACTTATTGAGCTTTCTAGAGACTGTAGCTTTTCTAAGCCAAAGTCTTGTTTAATTATTTATCATTTAGATGTAGAGAATAAAGCTAAAGCTGATGTCCTAGAGGAAGATATTCCAGAGAAGCATAATGGAACACATGTGAGATATAGAGTACTTTTATTGCAATTATGGTTGATATTGGAGATAGTAACTTAGCAGGTCGTTGTTCTGATCTATTTGTGTAGGTTTCATATTCAAGACTTCCTTTGTTACTTCCTGAGAAAGTACAAAGGTTAAAGGTTAGTCTGAGCAGGCCTTAACTAATTATATTGATAATGTAGATATAATTAATCTGTGTTCCTTTGTTTTCTTTCTCATGCATTCTAAAAGCCAACTCCCACTTTTTGCATGAACTAAAAGACGTCAGAGTTGGTGCCTTTAGACCTAGCTACTTTGATGTTACTTCAATATTTCTTGATAATAATTAAATGTCTTAGTAGTCATCTACAAATATCCCATCATTTAACATGTTAATGTTTGTTGACACCATTTTTTTTTCCTTTTGTTCATAAAAGGCACTTGTGGAGTGTGATGGTGATTCGATAGATTTGAGTGGTGATGTGGGCGCTGTTGGGCGGGTTGTAATCTCAGATAATCCATCTGGAAGCAATGAAATGCTTTTGGATCTAAAAGGCATGTACAAGTTTCTCTAATATCTGATGATAAAATTCTTGATTTGCATGTCGTGTAGAACCATGAAGTAGCACTACCTTTCTTGAGGTGGTATGATGTGATTAAGTGTGGCAACTATATGTTCTTGTTATAGATGCTTCACGCCCTCTTCTGCAAAGCTACAAGGTTTAATACTCATGGCTCTTCTGATTTTAGTAATCTGGTTTGAAATTTCAGGAACCATATACAAAACGACAATAGTTCCTTCCAGGACATTCTGTGTGGTATATGTTTTCTTTAATACAGAAACCTCTATAGCTTTGTTTTTTCCTTTTCTCCAAATAGGACTAATTCCACTTTTGGTTCAAATACTATTGTGGAATTTTCACATTTAGTTCTCAATTATCAATTTGATCGTATTTAGTACGGAGTACTTGATTTTTCCAAATTGACCACTTGTCTTCTATACACGCATGGATACATATATTTATGTATATGATCTGACACTCTTCCCTTGCTGTAGGTAAGCTTTGGTCAATCAGAAGCAAAGGTGTGTTTGTTGATTATGCATTGTTGATTTATTTGCTCTAGCCATACTAGCACCTTGAAAAGGAAGAACACATAATACTTCATTTTCCGGGTTTTCAAACACACCTTAAGAAACTTTAACTCACCTTTACTTGCTGTCCTGATCTTTGAGTTATGGCATTATGCTTTCATGTTGCATTGTATATAAAAATGGTTGGAAAGATTAAAAGGAATAAAAAAGGTATTTTGGTTGATGTGTTCAAATTACCTATTCCTCTATGTTTTTTCACCAGATTGAAGCCATCATGAATGACTTCATCCAATTGACACCACAATCAAATGTTTATGAAGCTGAAACAATGGTTGAAGGTTTGATTTCTCCTTCAAATCTCATTTTTTCTTTGAGGTGTAAAAGATGTTTATTCTCTTGAGTATATTTCATTTAGGAACTCTTGATGGATTTTCATTTGATTCGGAAGAGGAGGCTGACAATTTGCCCAAAAAGGCTGTTGAAGGCAATCAAAATGAAGCCATTGAGGACGAAACAAATGGAAAAACAGAACGAAAAACAAAAAAATCATTAGTATGCATAATGTTTTTTTATTTTTTGAATTCAAGGAAATAATCTATATTTTGCGTTAAAACTAAGTTGTTGGGATCCATTTTTATTTAGGGGGCTGAGCAAAAGAAGGGAAAAATTGGAGGGGGCAAGCAACCAAAGAAAACAAAAAAGAAAGCCCAAGTCACAAAGAAAAACAAGAAAAAATGAGAAGGTTGATTTTAACTTCTTCATACCGTGTACATTTTCTTAATTTTCTTGGCTTGTATTCCTATTTTTGTTTTAGCAAGCTCCAATTTTTTACAGGTTTCTGCAATCCTAATTATCAATTGGCTGGTGGCATCACTGTTACCATTCCAAACGGAAGGTCACAAGTTTGAGTCTCATCCCAATCAAGGATGTTGTTATAATCTTGTTGAGTAGATATTATTATATGTTAGATGTTAGATTATAGTTACAAAAAAATTATCAATTGATTGGTGGGAAAGCCCATGCTTAATAGAGACGTTGGATTTGTGTTTTAGGACCTACTTAACGTAACTGATAATTCATTGTAAGTTTGTTGAGTTTCTTGATCTGGTCCTAGACTGAGTGTAGTAATTAGTAACACTACAGGCTCCCTGTTTAAGACTATAGATCTCATCTTGAAGATTAGAGATTCTATGAGCATCTACTTGTGAAAATCTGTTCTTCAAATCATCCCAAATGAAGTACATCACCCTTTGTGCAATTGAAGGACTAAGAGACTTAAAAATTCAGGAACTACCCTAGAACCAAGAGATGCTAGGGAGAATTCTTCTGCTAGCCAATCAGATCATAGACATGGCTGAGAAAAAGTTTGCAATCTCTTTCTTCCTGACCGTTGGTTCCTAATGATAGATTTTTTTTTTTAAAAAAAATAATTTTATTAAATTAGGATCAAAAAATTATTGAACTGGATAGAATTCAAATATAAAACGAATTTAATAATAAAAACAACTTAAAATTAAACAATATTAACAAAGTTAGTTATTATAGTAAAAATATATAAAAAAAGATATAAATTAATTAATTATTACAAAGTTACTAAAATATTATTAAAAAGTAATAAAAAAATGTTTATCAAATTGCTAATTAATTAGCTCATAATTTAGTCAAAGCAATTGACGCATGGGAAGGTCTATGCATCTAGGAGTTGTTCTTCCTAAATGTATTATTCATCTTATTCATTAATTTAGTTACAGATTTTTTCCTTAAAGAAATCTAACTAAAATGTTTTGATTAAAAATAATTAATAATTAATCAAAATTTATCAGTTTAGTCATTTTTATTGAATTGTGCACACCGGCAAGAATAAGGAATAAAAAGTAAATTAAAATTGGGGGTACCTTAGTCAGCAGTTATACCATGGGCTCGCGAGTCCAAAATACAAAATTTACATATTGAATGTTCACAATTTAAATTGTGAACATTTATATGTAAATTGTGAACACTTAGTATGTAAAATTGTGAACATTATGTAAATTGTGAATAGAGTAATTTGTTTACTTAATTAAGTTGATCAGATTATTGATTTGATAATTACAAAATCACAAATTTAACTTTTAGCAAAATAAACTTTGCGAGAAGTGTCAAATAGACCCATGTACTATTGTCAAGTGCTCAATTTCCACCATGAACTAAATTAAAGGCTAATTAATCACACTTTCCTACTAAATTTGTTCAATTAACTTTTTTTTTTGAGGGTTACCAATTCAATTATTAAAAAAATAATTTCAAAATAATTTAAAAATTATTAAAAAAAAAAAAAAACAGCCACCGGCTGTCCTCGCCGGACAGCCGGGGGCTGTATTTTTTTTGTTTTATTTTATTTATTTATTTATTTATTTTAATAATTAAATATGTAACCTGTTATTAACTTGTAAAAAAAGCCAATTAAACAAATTTAACTCGTAGATGAACCCTATTTGACACTTAATTTAGTTTGTGGTGGAAATTAAACATTTCGTAGCAATAGTAGATGGGCCTATTTGACACTTGTGCCATAAACTTTTAATAAACTATATGATATATGATAGGATTACAGATTTCCTGGTGACTAACTCGAAAAAAATAAACCAAACACTAAGGGGGTGTTTGGTTGGATGGAAAACATTTTCCATGGAAAATGTTTTCCTAAAAGTGAAGGAAAATGATGTTTTATGTTGTTTGGTTGGATGGAAAACATTTTCCATTGGAAAAAAGTTTTCCTTGAGTATAAGGAAAACAAATTCCTAGCTTTTGTTAGGTATTTTGTTTTCCATGGAAAAGGTTTTCCATGGAAAACTAATATGCCAATTTTACCCTCACCATTCTTTATTAATTACTCTTATTATTATTATATTATTATTGTTGTGTAGGATTATATTTGTCATTATACACATTATTCCTTACCATTCCAAACTCAACCAAATAATAGAATTCATATTCCCAAAAATTTCTTTTCCACCAACCAAACAATAGAATCTATTTTCTTGGAATTTATTTTTCATGGAATTTCAATTCCATTTCCCTTCAAATATTTTCCAGCGAACCAAACGAGCCCTAATGGAAAAAGACTAAAAAAGAGTCAATATAGCCCAACTAACGGTCGGCCCAACTCTTCCACTTCAAAACCCTAAATCTAAAACGAGGAAACATAAAGGGAAAGAGGCAGAACAGCGGAAGAAGACAGGAGGCCGCAGAGTTTGGCACGCCAGAGCCGGGAAAGATGCAGATCTTCGTCAAAACTCTCACGGGGAAGACTATCACTCTCGAGGTAGAGTCAAGCGATACGATCGACAATGTCAAGGCTAAGATTCAGGACAAGGAAGGTATGCATTTCCTCTCCTTTTTGTTTTTGGTGATTTTATTTTTATATATTGTTTTTTTATTCATGTGTTTATGGTGGTCTAGGAATCCCACCTGATCAGCAAAGGTTGATTTTTGCTGGAAAGCAGTTGGAGGATGGCCGCACTCTTGCAGACTACAATATCCAGAAAGGCATGCCTGTAATTCTTTATACTTTAATAATAGTTTATAGAGCTGAACTCTTTGGTTGTTAATTTGGGAATGGTAATGTAGAGTCCACTCTGCATCTGGTGCTGAGGCTGCGTGGTGGAATTATTGAGCCTTCTTTGATGGCATTGGCTAGGAAGTACAATCAAGACAAGATGATCTGCCGCAAGTAAGTCTCCTATAACTCTTCTTTCTGTTTTAATTTCATCTAAATTTTTAATATTTATGCATAGTAATTGTTAACTTCTGGGCTGATTCAGCTTGTAAAAATTGGCTTCTTGGAACCAATATTTGTTTGATGTTGAAATGTTGATGATTTATAGTGAAGCTATGTACATATGAGAGGGCTATTTTTTGTGTAGTAGTTAACCCTGACTTTGTGTGTGTGTGTGTGTGTGTGTTTTTTTTTTTTTTTTTTTTTTTTCCCCCTCATCTATTGTATCTGTAAGGATACCTCTGTGTGGTTAGTGGTTATTGAAGTGTAATTAAGAACACTTTACACACTAAACAGTGAAGTATGAGAGAGTTAAATCCCTTTCATAGTTGATAGTGGCTAGCTGGCTGCATTCTCTATGGTGAGATTTGGTTATGCATTTCTTGTATTGGAGTACTGTCTTGACTTTTATGATCATTGAAAAATATGTGAAGCAGCTAAGGACTTCTCTTGGCACCTCTACATCTCTCGACAAATTCCCTTAAATTTTTTTCCTATTGTTTTAGTAAAATTTGTTTATGAAGTGTGTATACTTGTATAATTGTTCAATACAAATATAAGTTTGACGTTGGAAGACAACGTAGTCTTACTGTGTGGTACAAATGTGGCCAATATAAAGCACCTTTTACCGAATTTGAATGTTGTGAAGCACTCGTCATATATATTTTATGATAAAATAGTGAAAGCCTGTCATCTTTTTGACAACTAGGGTATCAAGTCTATCCATACCCCGTGGTGAAACTGTGAAAGACCCCGTATCCATTGTCAAATCCAATTCTGCCATATTCATTCCCCTCTGCTTTGCAGCTTTGTTCTAATTCCTCTTGTTGCTCTAATATGCTGTTTCATTTGAGTTAACCTTGTAGAAGAAAGTGATTACTCTAAGTTTAGAGCAGCCACTTGTCATCCAATTATTTATATAGTCTCTAACATAAAGTTTGTTGTGGTAATATTGTTTAATTATTAATTGTTCTATTTATGGCTATGCACCTACAAAACTCCCCTTGTTCTTTTTATTTGTCTAATCTTTCTAATGCTATTTCATAAGGTGTTATGCTCGCTTGCATCCCCGTGCTGTAAACTGCCGTAAAAAGAAGTGTGGGCACAGTAATCAGGTTTGTTGCATGAGGCTTAGATCTGATTTCATGCAATTGTGGGCACATTTCCTACTTCAACTATTCCTAATTCCTAAAATACTTTATTATTTTTTGTTGCAGTTGAGGCCAAAGAAGAAGATCAAGTAGATTCTGAGCCTTAGTAAGTTTCAACTTTACATTGGATGGCTTTTAAAGCCCTTCAAACATAGAACTAAGGATGCTCATTTATTATTGTTGTCAGCTTTTGCTTTATGGTTTTGTTATCCTGAAGATTGAATGAATTTTGGCACACTAATTATTAGCAATGTTTCATATTTCAACGTTTAATTACTATTCATTTTTTTTTTTTAATTTATATATTTTCTTGTTAGACCATGAGATGGTTATGAGTAGGTCACCTTTAAGCCCATACTATACTTAGATTATTCACTTCTTTGATTTCAAGGTAATTTACTAATTTACATCCAACCTTTGGATAATTGCTCCTAATCGTCTTGTGCTTGTCAAGTTTGGATGTAGAAACTTCACACATGGTGGTTGGACGGGTATAGTTCCTTTCAAATACTGCCATCACATAATATTAACAGATTATGATTTGATAATTTTTACAATTGTTATTATGTTTTGACTTAGAAACCTGATTTATATTTTAGAAGTTTGCATTTTCAATACTAAAAATACAAAATTTGTATGTTGTTTAGAGCATCCAAAATAGTTTAAGTTTGTTTTTTTTTTTTTTTTTTTTGTTTTTTTTTTTTTTTGTGGTTTTTATGTGCCAACTAGGGGAGATAAGAGGAAAAGAAAAAAGGGAAAAATCGATCAGACACTTAAAAAACAGATGCACTGCACGCGCCTGACTTGGCGGTGTTGTGTGCGAAACGCGCACAGTTTCGTATGTTAACTGTCAGTTTAAACTGTTTCAAAAACCCAACTTTACAGAGCAAATTTATTTTTCCCTCTTCCATATCAGCATGCACTGTTCTAACAACTACAAAAAAATCCATTGATATGGATGTTTTTAGGATCAGGATCCACCTTGTAAGGCGAATCAGGGTTCACAGAATAATTTGCGATTTTATCTCACCCCCACTGTGGGTTATGTGATGGATGTGGGTACCATTGATATGAACTTGTTCCATTTCATCCTTAATTGGATCTTGAATTTGAAAGAATGGATTACTTTAGATTTTGTCACTTACGTTAGAGTTGATCAATTAGTAATTTGAGAGTTGTGTTTAATTTAATTCTTCTGAGTTTCTACTTTCCATTTTTTTGGCACTCTAAAGTGTTTTTATCAGTGTAAAATTTCTCTTTTTTTCAAGTAAAATTTCTTCTAGTTATTGTTCTGCACTTGTCAAATATTTCATCGAGTGTAGAATACAAATTCGATTCTCATCAAATTTGTTTGCATATGGCGGTGAAATTTTGCATGAATATAAATTGTTTAAAAGTGAAGTATTAAATAGGAAAATTTTGGTTTTCTCCTTGTGTATATTTATATATAAAATAAAGAGGTATCCGCGACAGCCTCCGTGAAGAAGGTGTCGGGATAGACTAATTAAAAAAATAAATAAAAGAAGTTTTCCGCGATACGGCTGTCGCGGATATGTATAATAACAATAAAAAAAAGAAGAAAAAATATCACTTTTTTTCCATGAGTTATATATATATATATATACTTATAACACTTTTCTCTCTTGAATTATTTAAGTGGCTGTTTTTTCTCGATTGAAATGTTAAATGAACATATTTACCCTTGAAATAAATATTTAAAATAAATATTCATTTATTTTTCTTCTCCAACAAATTATGACCACAATTTGGTTCAAACCAAACAGAAGCTATAGCAACCAACCCGAAATGTTCCAATTACAATTTAGAATTGAAACCCGATATTTAGAGTTTATTAAAATTGCGAATCGAAACGGCCGGTTCATGTTCTGAACTGAAAAAAATAAAATACATTTATTGTTGAATTTAGACTAATTTAAAATAAAAAATAAAATTTTAAAATAAAGACGATTCAAAATTGCGAACCGCGGTTTCGGATCCAATTTTTTTTTTTTTATTCATAATTTTAATAATTTGAAATCCAAATTTTGGTTTCTGGATTTGAATCATAATCGAAAACTTTTAATTCGATTGTTATAGTGTTCGATTCAGTTTGAACCAAGCCGTGGTCATCCCTACGTAGACGCAATAATTTGTTGGAAGAAAAATAAATAAAATATTTACTTTAAGGGTAGAAATGTCAATTTTATTTATTAGGGGGGAAAACCATCACTTTTAGAATAATTGAGGGTGTTAATGTGCTTACTTGAATAATTTAGGGAAAAAAGTGCTATATGTATATAACTCAGGGGAAAAAGTGTCATTTTCTTTGAAAAAAATAAATGACTTTCCGAAGCACCTGCAGCATAGCAGGTGCCTCGGAAAGTCTGTATATAAAAGTCTGTATATAAAAAAAAAATCATTGGATAGCTTTCCGCGACACCCTATACAGGTGTCTCAGAAAGCTTCAGAGTTACTGAAATCCGAGTTACTTATACAAGTGACTCGAAAAGTGTTTTATAGATGACTCAAAAAGTATTTTATAGATAACTCGAAAAGTGTTTTTTGTACTAGTGACATATGCTCAGAGTGTATATTTGCTCTTTAGAAAATATTTGCTCCAAATTATGTAACCTCTTTTAAAGGATGTAGATTCAAGAGTAATATATGAATAGTATAATTAGCTTAGAGGAAATTTCAATTTTGGTTATAGTATTATAGGGGTCTTGTTAATTTTAGTCCATGACTTTTAAAAATGTCAATTTAGTACTTTAACTATGTAATTTTTGTCAATTTTGGTCACTCTGGCCAAATTGTCGGTCAAATTTCGTCGGAAAATTTTAATAATTAAAATAATGAGGATATTTTGGTCATTTCATACCTCTTTTCTTCTTTCCCGGCGAGTCCATCTCTTTCTCTCCCGTTTCCAGCGTTCTTTCTCCCTGTAAACCCTATCTTTAATATCATCAAGCATCATTTTCCCATCGTCTTAGTTCATTGCATTCGCCGAAAACGGGAGAGGAAGGGATGGACTCGCCTGAGAAGAAGAAAATAGACGTGAAATGATCAAAATACCCTCATTATTTTAACAATTAAAATTTTCTGGCGGAATTTGACCGGCAAATTGGTCGGAGTGACCAAAATTGACAAAAATTGCATAGTTAAGGTACCAAATTAATACTTTTAAAAGTCAGAGACTGAAATTAACAAGGCTCATATAGTCATAGGACCAAAATTGAAATTTTATCATTAGCTTATATATGAATTTGAAATATTCAGAGCCTCTTAAATATGAAAAATTCTTTTTAATATATTTTTTTTAAATTTCCATTTTGAATTACTTTTTCCACTCTTCAAATAGAAAACAAAAAGTGATTCAAAGTTGGAGAGTTGAATAAATGACATGAAAAAAAAGGAGGAAAACAAGCAAAACCTTACGTAGTAAAACACATGTGAACAATGATTATGAATTTATGATGATATAGATTCAACCAAACCTATTGACAATGCGATTTAATACCATGTATTTGTGTTTGTGGGCTTGTGGCAATTATAATCAAATATATTAATTGACATTAAAAATAATTCAAATCTTTTGATTAAGGTATTAGTTTGGTGACTATAATATTTAAAGCATGATATTTTTAAATATATTTAGAATATATATATATTTTTTGGAGTTTAACTAGAAATTGTAATTATATATACACGAAGTATACAGTATGATAATACATCATGTTTTAAGAAAATGATTTTATAGTTTATTTATTTATTTTTTTATAAATAATTTGTACATACACCGGGTTCTATTGATTTTTTTTTTTTTAATTGAGTCTGATATTATTATTGGATATAATTATCTCAAAATACAAAAGTTATTTTTTTTAAAAAAAAATTCAAAATTTTGAATATTTGAATATAATTGTTATGCATAATTGGATATAATTATAATGACACAAATGTTTGATGTTAAATTACTAAAATTTAAAAGTTTGAATATAATTTCCCTTATATAAAACCTTTAAAAAATGACCAAAACTCCTATGAGACTATCTCACAGTCCTCATCTAAGACAAGTTAAATTCTCATTATTATTACATTTTCTCCCATAAGAGACTCTTCTTCCCCTACATATATTGCATTTTGATTTAAAAATAATACTATAGTTTCTCTCATAAGTAACAATCAATTTATCCATGATTAATATTGCACTTTTTTCTCATAATTAAGTACCAATTAATCAATCTATCCCTAATTAGTATTTCACTTTTTCTCAAACTCTTTAATCCCTAAATATTTTATTTTGATTTAAAAGTATTAAATTTTGCCTAAAAAAATATTACATTTTTCCTCATAAGTATTATACTTTCCTTCATAAGTAACAACTAACAATCAATATAATTATCCTGATTAGTATTGCACTTTTCATCATACCCGACTCATTTCACAGTCAAAGATCAATGAGACGGTCTCACAAAAGATTCATCTTTCTAAAAAAAAAAAAAACTAATTAAAACATAAATTTCATTTTTGTTATTTTGACGGGGGACTGGCCAATTCTAATAGATTAGGAATATAGGGGACATATTTTGGATGTTTTTGCATGTCTTGACTTTTCATTCAAAATTTATGTTTTTTGGATTATGTTTGTTGGTCATCGTTTTACGTGTGTGTTTTTTTCTTTGGTTTCATTGCCAAATGGTAAGTGTGTGTGAACTCGTTTTTGTGGCTTCCATTTTTCTTGGAGTTGCTCTTTATTAGTAGGCAGCCATATGCCCATATATGATTGTTGGTTGGGTTTAGGGTTGGGGTTCAGCCTTTTGGAAGAATGATTGTTGGTTGGGTCAACAGTGTATTGGTGTTTGCTACTGTGAACCCACTAAGACACTAAGCAATTGTTATACTTATACCATGCGCTAGCTAGGGTTAAATTTACATTGTGAAACTTATTCTAAAACGGATTCAAATTATGTATTTGGCGAATAACTCTTAAAAAAATTAAAAAAATTAAAATAAAAAATAAAAAACCGGGCGCCTTAGGCGCTAAGCGGCCCCCCCCCCCCCCCTAGACGTCTAGGGAGTGCCTAGCGTCTTTTTCAACACTGCATATAATTAACATATTATTTAGTTTTAGTTAATAAATTATTTACCTCTTGACAATTAAAATATATTGTACCTTTTAGTTTATATTTACATATAAGAGTTAATATCACAAATGAATAAATTTCACCTTTTAGTCTCCTGATTATTATACATGGATCACATTTGATCCTTGA